TGAACTCATTAATGATGTTTAGATTTATTCTACATTAAAATGACTATACTCTAAACGACTGAGTTAAAAATCTATTAAACTGAATTTCACCTGTTTCTTCTTATTTTGTGCATGTGGCTAGTAGAAAATTTTAAATTACCTATATAGCTTTCATTGCATTTCTACTAGATGGTGCTTGTGGAAAAGAATGAAGCAATAACACTGATTATTACTGGGGAGTTGGAGTGGGGAGAAATTTTGATAAGGAGGGAAGAGAATAGGGACATTCACCTTTAACCTAAACTCTGTTATATTTCTCAAAGAGAATTTAATTTAAAATATTAAAAATCAATAACAGAATAAAAAGCAAAGTCTGTAGTTAATAGTATGTTACCAATGTTAATGTCTTGGTTTGGACAAATATACCATGGTTATGTAAGCTGTTAACATTAGCAGAAACTGGTGAATACAGGAACTCTGTACTATTATCATTGCAATTTTTCTGTAGCTCTTAAAGTATTTCAAAATAAAATGATAAAAAAACAAAAATAAGGGAGGGACTCCTGGGTGGTTCAGTCAGTTAAGCATCCGACTTTGGCCCAAGTCATGATTTCAGTTCATGAGTTCAAGCCTCACATGGGGCTGTGCTGACAGCTCAGAACCTGGAGCCTGTTTTTGATTCTGTGTCTCCCTCTCTCTCTCCTCCTCCCCTACTCACACTCTGTCTCTCTCTCAAAATTAAACATTTAAAAAAATAATAATTGGGGCACCTGGGTAGCTCAGTCAGTTAAGCGCCTGACTTTGCTTGGGTCATGATCTCACAGTTAGTGAGTTTGAGCGTCGGGCTCTGTGCTGACAGCTAGCTCAGAGCCTGGAGCCTGCTTCGGATTCTGTGTCTCCCTCTCTCACTGCCCCTCCTCTGCTCACGTCCTGTCTGTCTGTCTGTCTGTCTGTCTCTCTCTCTGAAATAAATAATAAACATTAAAAAAATAATAATAATAATAATAATAAGGGAAACAAGCAATCTAACAAGATATGTGTCTTCTGCTTCATAGAGATTCTTACTTAGTCTCAATACACTGTAAGGCAATTAGCTCCTAATTGTACATCCCACCCAGAGTGCTTCTCTTAAACACATTTGCTTCAAGTAAGGCAGCTAGGATAGCTGTCATATCTCTTAGTTTTTTGCCTGAGATTCCATTAGTTCAGGTAAGTCTTTTCTCCCATGGTGATTAAAAGCTATTTGGCTACCGTTTGCATAATAGGAATTTCTTTTGAAGTCCAAGGGTTGCTGGAGAGAATGATGAAAGGCACTGCTCCCCCAGGAAACTTCTGGAAACCTAGCCAGAGGGGAGATTTTAAAGCTCCTTCGCTTTTGTATTCCCTACTTCAACCCTCAGATTCAGCTAATACTAAGGCCAAGAGATTTTTGCTAAGACATAGTGATGAACTTTGGGATAAAGTAATGAATCAAAAATCTATATTATAGTTACATATATTATACTATACCATCTATTTGTTACAACATAACAGAATTGTTGGAAGCAACCTTCGCCTACATTTATACAGTTGTTACTTTTTACCGAAGTATTTTCTGAACAAGAACTAAATTCAGCATGCAATGGACCAGTAATGGCAAATGAAACCATGACCACAAGTAAAATTTAAAACAGATCAGATACAGATATATAGATTATGGATATTCCAGAGCTGACCAAAATAAGGTAAACACTGCAGTGAAATAAAAAGTATTTCTATTTTACATGAACGAGGTTTAAATGAATGAAAAAGTACAAATAACAAATGTAGAAATTACAAAGGCCAACATATCAACTCCTCATGAAACAGGCTGGAAGTATAGAATATAAAACTATAATAAAATATTTTCCAAAAGTGACCCACCCCCAAAACAATTACATTAGAGTAATGTGCACATTTAGACAGAGGTCCCACCACCACCACCACCACACATGAATAGCTTAAACAATCATTAAAAAAAAACAAAACACTTCACTGCTTTTTCTGGAAAAGCAGAGTCACACCATAAGCAGAAGGAATTTGAACAAGAATTCACAAAAGATAGTTACCGCTATGCGTAAATGAGTGACTTGGAATCACTTTTATCATTGTAGTCAACATTACTGAGAAAAAGACACGGAGGATCTACAAGCTGGAGACATTTCTGACTCATACTGCTCCTTTGCACTAATTTTCCACTAAATATGGGCTAAAATCTGAGCCCTCCTCAGTCTTGAGAACCTTTCAGCCAAATGGTCCGGCGACCCCTCTTTTTTCCCCCACTTCATAACTGAGTCCCACCAAAGGATGGTGGGAAGATCTTAAAAACTGCAACTCTGTGGTACTCCTCTATACTTTTCTCCAGAAGGATCTAAGCTTTCTGAATAGAAACTGGAGATAAAATTGTGTTCAGCTTAATTTTTTAAGCTTGTATTTAAATGAGAAGTGAAAAATAAGAATAGGCATGAGGGGTACCCAAAAATCAACTAATGAGGGATTGAACTGTTTGGGATTTCAGCCATGGGAATTCCCAATCTAGAAGTGATGTACATGTTAAGACCTTACTTTTTAAGTCTAAAAAGATCAGGGAGCCCCCTCTTGTCCTGGGGTCTCATAGAAGAGCTTTGGAGGAAAAATCCTAAGATGCTTCTAAGAGCAAGACCACATGTTCAATCTTATTACACTGTTTTTAATTAAGTTACCCATTTATCTCCTGGGCCCTTTGGAGTAGCCTTGAAGATTTTTGTTCCCCATTCTGCCAACTTCCCCCTTCCAAATAACTGATGTGGAACAGATTCCACTCTGACAACTAGGGTTCTTGTCCTGGCTTACTGCCATCCTTGACCTTGAATTTAGCTTATCCTAGTCTTCATTCCTTTCTATTATGAGGGGGCCAGACAGTAAAACATTCCTATAATGTTTAAATCAATTTTTATTACAAAAGAAAATAATTCAAACAATTATACAAGCACATAAAAGGAAAAAGTAGAAGTCTGCTTCATGACCATTTGCCTCTTTGGGATAACCATATTAATTTTGGAATATTCTTCTAGATTTTTTAAGGCAAAAGAAAAAATCAGCATCAACAATATATACCATTCTAGAACTTTTTTTTTTGACTTAGCAATATGGCATTCTCCTCTGACAAGTAAGTAACATAAGCTACACGCGATTAGGGATTTCTCTCACCACTATATTTCTAGGGGACTAGAACAGTATCTGGCACGAAGGAGGTGCCAATAAATGTTCACCAACTGAATAAATGGAAAGAATCCTCCTTACAGTCAGATCAACTAAAGTTCTACAGGGTCAGGGATATATCTGTTTGGTCTCTCTCTGTGGTCTCAGCACCGGAGTACCTGGCATATCGTAAGCACTTATATTTTCACTGAACTAGCAAAACAGCTCAATGATGAAATCACTTAATTCTTTTTAAATGCACCAGTGTGTTGAGATCACAATAATCAACTATTCCCCAACTGACAGAAAAAGTCCCTTACAAACACTGTTGCAATGACCATCCTGAATAAATACCATTGTTTGAAGATTTTTAAATAATAGGATAAGAATCTCTTTGGGTGGGTGGGGGGAAACCATTGAACTGCTCCAAATGTGTTCCGAAGTCCTTTCCCTCTAGAATTTCATAACTTTACAACACTTACAATTAATTTTTCATCTTGTTTGAGAGCTGCTGCTTATAGTTTTATGAAATGATCTCCCTTATGTATCTCCCTATAGAAAATCTAGTACTTCCCAAAACTGTCTAACTGCAGCCCAAACATAAATCACACAACAAAATGGCTGGAAAGACTCCTAGAAATAAACAGGCTGCCTACATCCTTGGTGACCAACATTTTCTGCATACGGCATCCCAGCAATTTAGTTATTACCTGCAGAGGGGCAGTTTTCAGGCAGCAACAGGTCCTTCTTGTTGATTCTTTATATGCTGAGGAAGTTCAACAGAAAGGGGGATGCAGACAAGAGAGTAACAGATTTCCAAAGGCCTGAGCTAAGAAGTGAACACCACTTCGAGCTAGATAAGAGCAGATTTGGGAGCTTAGGAGTACCTGTGAGTTCTCCAAAAAGAGCTCTGTCTAAGTTCTGCAATGAAAAAGTCTTCCCAGAAGCCCACCTTTCTGCTTATGCTTTTTACTCCAAAGGCATTTAGTAAATTTCTATTATGTGAGAGAGCTGTGCCAGGCCCTGGGCAGGCATGAATAAGCAAGACAAACCTAGTCACCACCACCTTGGAAATGAAGCTCAGGGACCACAGTCTTTCCGTCATAAAACTTGATGTTGATAAATATAGATTGCTGGAGCCCTTTGCTTTCTTTCCACCAGGAAACAGAATTTATGTCCCAGTCACTGCTTCTTCTTCTATGAAAAACATAGGTCCAGTTCTCTCCATGAATGGAGAAGTGGGTCAGGGATATTTCCCTTTGAGTGCACCCCAAGCAAAACTCAGCAACAAACACGGAGCACACTTCCTTTTTCTCCAGGAGCTCCTGCACACCACAGGACATGCCGGGCAGTCTACTTAACTGCCAAAGGAGAGCTGTGCAGTGGCACTTACTGTTAACCAATCAATATTCAAAGAAACATAAGTCTTAAGACTCAGAGAGAACCTTTGAGACCATCTAGTCCTCCTCTAGTAGCTTCTAAACTTTTTATGGCTCACAGAACTCTTTGAAAATTAGTGGCTCCTTTAGATTTTCTGTACCAAAAAGACATACATGTATCTCAGCACATAATTTTCTTCATATTTTCAGGAGCTCTGTGGATACATCATGTGGCTGAACTTCCTGGAATTCCTGAGACCACATATTAAGAATTTCTACTTTAGGGGAACCTGGGTGGCTCAGTCAGTTAAGCATCCAACTTCCACTCAGGTCATGATCTCAGATTGTGGGTTTGAACCCACATCAGATTCTGTGCTGACAGCTTGAATTCTGTGTCTCTCAATCTCTCTGCCCCTCTCCAACTCATGCTCTGTCTCTTTCTCTCAAAAATGAATAAACATTAAAAAAAAATTCCTACTCTGTATAAAAGCCCATTTGAGCTCTAATGTTGTCTCTGAATTAGCATTCTCTGAATTGGGTAGCCCTGCTGGTTGAAATACAGAGGTAATGTTGTACCTAAGTACAGTGCAGGACACAGTTCCATCCCTATGTGAGTTAATTATCTCCAGAAAATGTAAAAACTCTGCTTGGTGACCATGGACAGGGCCTCTAAAACCAGTCTGCTGACACATATCATAGCTTTCACAATGATACCACACTCAAAAATGAAGTAGTGGGATCTGGTGGCATTAAAGGGTTAGACCTCTGGGTTTTCAAGATAGTTGCTCCCTGCTGACATAGCAGTAGTATTCATATGGATCTTCCATTTCATATATATTCTCCTCAATGATATAGATGTTTTCCTCCGAGTGCATTCCTTCTGCTGCTATATTTGCTAGCCCTGAGGGAGGGACGTTGGCCAAAGTGACGAGGCTGTGGAAATAAATGTTGCAGTTGAGTTAAGCATTTCCTGGGCAGCACAGAATAGACTTAACAGAAGAGGCTTGGTTGAAGAGACAACAACCAAATGTAGTACATGATCCTTGATCAGGCCCTAACTAGCAAGAAAAAGCCATAAAATAGCAATAAAATGATTTGTGGAACGACTGAGGAAATTTGAACTAATCTTAATTTTCCTGAGTATAAATATGGCATCGTGTTGGGAGGAGGTACAGACTGAAGTGTTTAGGTGAAGTGGCAAGATATTTGAAATGTCCTTACAAATGTTTCAGAAGAAATGTTCTCTATAAATAGAGAAACAAAGCAAGCATGTCAAAATCTCAAACCACAAGTTTGGTTGCAGGGTTCTGTTGTTCTTGTACTATAACTTCAATTCTTCTGTGGGCTTGAACAGTTTCAAAAAGGAAAAAAAAAGGAATTAGGTTATGGATCCAATCAGACTTGGTTTGAGTTCTATCTCTATCATTTAGTAGTCATATGATTGGGTAAATTGAGTGGTTGGGTTTTTTGTTTTGTTTTGTTTTTTGTTTTCATTTACTCAGTCAAGAAATTTTTAGTGTGTTACACACTGTTCTAAGAAGCAAGAAATGCAGCAGTGAACAATACTCAAAAACCCCATGGAGGCTGCATATTAGCAAACTTTGTGTCTCAGGGTCCTCATCTATAAAATGGGAACAATAAGCATTCTATTTCACAGGGCTGCTGTAAGGAACATTTATTCATTCAATCATTGGATAACGTAGGTGCCTATTAAGCATGACATGCTCTATCAGGGAATAATTGTTAATGTGGCAACAACTTCCTAATTTTCTACAGAGCTTATCTTTATAAGCAGGGATGGAAGTTAACCAAATAATTTCACCAAATAATGAATTAATGCATGCAAATAGCACCCATGGGTAACATCACATTTCAAGTTTCAGCTCTAATAACAGATCCTGGCACAGATAGTCAAAAGTCACTGATAATTAAATTGTCTGATTGGGCTTTATTTGACTTTTTTTTATTGCAGAGTATTTTGTCTTCATTAATATGCTATCTATACTTTGCCTAAAATTATTCATGGCTTAGATAGTATTCAATGGGCTGAATGATTTTTTTTTCTTGAAATGTACTTCATTCTACCCATGTTCCAAATATCACTAAATTCTAGTACATGCTATATGAGCTTTGTATATTTGGAATAAGGTGTGTGCATGTATGTATATATATACATATGTATATAGTCAAAAACAGATACTGAGACTGCAGTATAATAGACCAGTAGATTTTAACCCTGTTTATACAGTAGAATCACCTGGAAAACTTTTAGAAAAAACCCTATGCTTAGGTCTCATCCTCAAAGATGCTAATGGATTTGCTCTGGGGTTGGCAACAGTAGGTTCAAGAGTCCTAGGTGATTCTAATAGGCAACCCAAGTTAAGAAAGTCTGGGCTGAGCTATAAAAGCCCTGAAAGTAGGTTCTGGGTTTCTTGCTCACTTTTGTAACCCAATGCCCAGCCCAGAGCCCGGGTGTAGTTCAATCACTAGAAGGGTCAGTTCATTGAAAAAAAAGAAAAAAACCATTAATATACAAATAAATATTTCCTATCAATAGGGAGATGAATTCTATCCCTTAACTTTAGTCAATGAAGCTAGAGAAATCAGTAAGTAAAACAGAACAGTGTGTTTAATTGGCATTGCATAAACCTAACCCTAAGGTAAGAAGAAAGTACAAGTTTAAATCCCAGGGCAGGCCTTTTAAGAGCAAAGCCATATTAGAGTAGAGGCCTCCAAGATTCCCACCTTCCCCTACCCCACCCATTACTCTTACCTTGACTTCTGTAACTTCTCTTTGCTGTAAGAACACCCTAGGTAAAATGTGGAAGAAAAGTACATTAAAACTGCTTTCATAAAACAAACAAGTTAGGAAATAAAATGAACTTACTGGAGGCAAGGATTGTTTAGGGAAATCTGGTTTCCCCTTGGACTGAGTTAAATCAAACTATCAGTGTGTGTCTTGGTTTGTTACATGGACTATTCTAGAAAGTAATAAAGTTTAATTTCTCACATTCAACAAATTCATGGAGCATCCACTTTGTGTTTGGTAGTATGCTAGGCACTGAGAATGCAATGGTGAATTGTGGACCCCGACTTCTGAAAACCTGTGTTCTTGTGAGAAAAGAATTTAAAAAAATAATTTCTAATTGTGGAACCAACAATGTACTGTAACAGATGACTGAGAAGGTGGTCAGGAAAAAAACTCTCAGATGGGGTAAACTTCAAGCTCATTTCTGGGAAAAAAAAGAGAAAGAGAGAGAGAGAGAGAATGAGTCAGCCAAGTGAACAGCCAGGGGGAAAATTGAGGCAAAGAGACCCCAGGTAAAGATGACTGTGTGTTCCTGAAACTGAAAATATGGTTGAAATAAGAAAGGGGCCCAAGATAAGGTCTGAGAGGTAGGCTGGGGCTACCTTCTATAAGACCTTTTAAGTCATAATCGAGATTTTGGATCTTATTCTATAAAATAAGAATCTTACTCTTATTCCTACAAGAAAGAATTAGAGGACAGAAATAAGAGCTGATTGGGTTTTAAGAAAATCACTCTAACTGCTCTGTGGAGAACGATTAAAAGGAGGTATAAAAAAATGAAGAAGTTAAGTAGAGATCATGATGCCTCACATCAGGGTAAGGTGATGACCAAGAGATTCAGAATAATGAATGTACTTTACGTATATTTTGGAGAAAGTCTTCAGGAATTAAAATTGGATTTTATGTTAGGAGGAAACAGGATTTTAGGCTGGCCTATGGCATTCGGTTTAAACAGCCAGATGGATGGTAGTGAAGTGCTATAATGGGAAAGACCAGAGAAGAAGAGGTTGTGTTCTGGGAAGGTGGAATATAGACTCTAGACGTCCATTTTGGACATGTTAAATGGGGAAGACATCTAAGTGGAGGTATCAACTGGACAAACACTCAGAGCTGGAGGGGGAAATTAAGGATGACATTTAAATCTATGGAAATATACATCATCACCTAGAGGGTATAGAGAAAGGGAAATGGTCAGCCCTGAGGAATATCAACATCCAAAGGTCAAACAGAAGAGGAAATAACAAAAGTGACTGAAAATGAATGGCCAGTGAAGTAGGAGAGTGGTGTTTTAGAAGCCAAGAGAAGGAAGACTTTCTAGAATGAGTGAAACTCAATTTGATTAAATATTGCTGAAAGATTGACTACAATGAAGACAGAAGAGTCTATTGGACTTAGCAAAATGTAAGTTGTCAGTGGGCTTGACTAGAACTATTTCCATGGTGCTTCAGGGGGAACAAAGTAGGAAAAACTCATCTGAGAAATATGCCTGTGAAGGAAAACAGAAATGGGAGTAGCTAAAGAGGAATATATGAGTTAGAACATATTTTTATGCTGATGAGAGTAGAATAAATAGAAAGGGAGAGGTAGATAATTCTAGAGAAAGGGGTAAAAGGAGGAATGAAGTCTGGGCTAAGTCTAAGAATATGGAACAAGTCTTTGATACTTCATCAGTTGAGTGAGAAATGAAAGCTGTTTGAGTGGTACTGAGGCATGGACGCTCATCTCAGAAAGTACACTAGAAAGATATGGGATTGCTGGTTGTATTGCTACCAATTTATGGCTTTGATGTCATGACTTAAAAACCTGTCACCTTGGTTGTAAGACTTCACCCATCAACTTCTAGGGAAAAGACCCAAAACCAAACAGGACTTTCCTATCTGTTCTTCGAAGTAGCCATGTTTTTGGAGTAATACATATGTGTATATAGAGTGTCAACCTTCTCCCATTCATTACCCTCACTTCAAGCCTCTTTGCACAAACTGAACTTGAAAAGCTAGTGAGTACTATCATTGCTCAGTTTCAACCTGTAGACTTCATATTCATGTGATCAGTTCACAAACGCCACTACTTCCTCGGTGCAAACCCAGGTAAGCGTGCCTGGGGTAGTTTCTTTCTTTGAACAATCTATTTACCAATAATAGCAGAATAGCATAGTGGTGCGGAATAAGAGAGCTCTGTCTTCAAATTCTCTATCAATTAACTGTGTGACTTGGGGCAGCATCCTCATGAGAATGAGGTAAATTACAATATTAGTGTCTTTCTCATTAGAGTAATTATGAAGATTTAATGCATATAAAGCACTCAGCAGCTTTAAGTCACATAATTAGGGTGACTAGTTCATGCTGGTTTTCCCTGGACTGTCCTAATTTTAGCACTGAAGTATCCTATCCTAAGGTCCCTTCAGTCCTGGGAAAATATGGGACAGTTGGTCACCCTATATGCAGTCCATGTTTAAGTATTAGAAGGAAGGGCTGCTAGAATGTACTAAGCCATGGGGTATAAGGTCTTGGCCTCTGCCCTCAAAGAAGAAAATATATCACAATTATAAAAGTGTGAGAGGCTTTTGGAGTGCTGATGATGGTTGGTCTTGATGGTAGTGATAGTTTCCAACTTGACAACAAACTATTTAAAAAATTAAAAAAATAAAATAAATAAAAATAACTTAGAAAACAATATGTGTGCTGAGTGCCGTGATGGAGCAAAATACAAATGCTGCAATCCTGGCCATGACCCTTTGGTAAAAGGACTTACCACCCGTCTCTAAAGACCTGTGCCCGAGAAACAAGTAAGATAGAAAAATGCACAGAAAGAAATTACTTTTTGTTGTTGCACTTCCTAATAAACCCAATTCATGAATTAAAGAGGTTTATTTGCTTAACAAAAGGTGCTAGAATCAGCCTGCTTGAATTTCAATGCCAGCTTTGCCTCTTTATGGATTCTGAAACCTTGGGAAAGAGACTTACTTTCTAGTAGTTGTACTTTTTGCACTATAAAACAGCGATAAATACTACCTACCACATAAGGCGGTGATGATAACATGTACGTAAAATGTTTAGCACCATGCCTGTGTATTACATGGTAAGCACTGTGTAAAAATTAGCTATTGTTATTGTTCGGTCTGGCAGGACTACAGGGTATTCAGTTTGATCACCCTCAGGTATAAATAGAAACTTACATCTGTATCTAGGTTTGTGTTGGTTCCTACCTTATGAGTTCCTTATCTTAACAGTTCCTTCTCTCCAGAGGGAGAGAATTACATCAACCAACTTACATGTGAGAGTTAAAGCAGCAATGATAAGAATGAGAGCCAGCCCAGCAGAGACCCCTGCTCCAATGTAGATGTCTGTTCTGGTGGTCGCAGCTGAGTCTTGCAACACATCAGCCGATGTGGGTATTTGCTATGGAAACACAAACAGAATTGCAGCAGATGGGCAGAAATCAGTGGAGTGCTCAGCCAGGTCTCATGACTTGTGCACCAGACCATGCCTTTTACAGCACCAGAGGAGTGCAGGGACCCTGAGAGCATGCATGATCTATCTCCTAGACAAGCGTCAAACCACCCAAAGAATGGGATCAGCATAATCCTTAAACTTAGCAAGGGAATGTGCTGCTTCTACGCTATGGGGGGACAAGGAGCTCATAGTAAATGGACTCCCCTCCCCTCAAAACAAAAATAGGTTTTAGAGTGGAATCCTGTTCATCCAAGGCCCCCTGGTGTTCCAGGGAGTTCAGAGTGGTCTAAACTTGGTGTCTTGCAGAGAAGCCCCCACCTTCACAGAAAGACAGTGATTCAAGGACCAGGCCTTTGCAGCCAGATAGTCCTAGGTTCAAATCCCAGCTCTGCCACCATCTTGGAGAGTTCTTAGGAAAATGAAGTAACAAGAAATATAAAATGTTTGGCACAGGGCCTTGTATGCAATAAATGCAATCTGTGCATAAGTTGTGATAATTATTGTGGCTATTTCTCTAATTAATTTTATTTTTTAACTGAAAGCCAAAACATTCTTCTGCTTCCAAAACTTTAGTTCATATTCTCCCTTTAAAAACAGTAATACCAAACAATTTTAAAACAAAGAAGTCAAAGAAATTAAATTTTCCACTTATTCAATCAGCATTTACTACAGGAGTGCTATATGCAAGATACTGTGTATTAAACACTATAGATATATAGAGGTACTTAGAGTCTGACTTTGGTCAAAAGAAGGGGAGGTACAAACACCAAGTCCTGAGCCTTGGTTGTGAACACACAAGTAGGGGACTTAGTCAAATGAATGCGGACTCTTGGATACATCTTCAAAGAATTTTTAAGTTGCTACTATAAGCTTGCTATCTAGGGGATTCCCTTTTACTCTGAGAAAGTGGGGGACACTAAAATTGTGGTTAATTAAAAGACTGATTTATTTATAGTTAGATATATAAATCATTGGCTTAAAAGACTCTTGACTAGTGTCCTGTCATACATAAATAAATTTACACTATCTTTCTCATTAGGGTTATCATGGGAGCAAGAAGAAATATATTCTAGGGAGATGAGGGTCTTTGAACCCTTCACAGGGGTACACAGTTGTGACATATGAGAAGAGGAACAAGAAGCAAGTGCTTTTTTGTTTTTGTTTTCCAGCACTTACTATGCACCAGGCACTTCACACTTAACCCCTCATTTCATCCTTAGATGGCTATAAATGCCCTATACAACATGCTACAGCTGCAGGCTCTGCAGCTAAAGGAGATTGAGACATTTTTCCCCCAAGGAGAGAGCGAACAAGAAGGAGGACTAAAGCCAAACTTTCTTTTCTCTGAGTTGAGCATGAGGTTAGCTCATACACACACATATGCACACACATGCACACATCACTTACAGTTTGATTTTTGTCATGGAGGGTCCCCAGCGTCTGTATCTCTGCCATAAAAAGAAAAAATAGCTTATAGAATAGTCGAGAGTGTTTTCTTTTATCTTAGTTTTTAAAAATCTTTAAGATGCCTAGAGTCCTATTTGAAAATAATCCTACTCTATGCTCTTCACAATAAGTAATTGTGAGACCAGTATTTCCTAAACACTTAGAAATCAATGGATAGATGGATGACCATATTTTTTTATCCAGATAATGAACCTGACTACTTATGTTCTATGAAATGGAGACCTCTGCCAGGAAAACCTATGTTGAAAATGTGGTTTGTTTTGTCCACAGCACCCCAGAGAGGGCTGCAAAATTCCAACAACATTGATAACACTCAAGCAGACATTATATTGTAATGAGACTTTGAAAGATAACAAAAGTTAATTTTCTTAAAAAAGTTTAACATTTACTCATTAAGAGGGAGACAGGGTATTACATTGCCTAAAAATGAGAGTAATAGTGACTATAGCTATAATTTACCATGAGCTGACATTGGGCTAAATTCTTTTTAGCAAAGTATCTCATTTAGCATTCAAAACAATTATCCTAAAGTAGAGACTATTAGCCCCATTAAGCAGATGAAGAAGCTGAGAATTAGAACGTTAGAGGACTTGGGGCATCTGGGTGACTCAGCTGGTTGGGTGTCCGACTTCAGCTCAGGTCAAAACCACACGGTCAGGGAGTTTAAGCCCCACATCAGGCTCTGTGCTGACAGCTCAGAGCCTGGAACCTGCTTCAGATTCTGTGTCTCCCTCTGTCTCTGTTCCTCCCCTGCTCATGCTCTGTCTCTCAAAAATGAATAAATGTTTAAAAATTTTTTTAAAAAAGAAAGAAAAAGGAAGTTAGGGGACTTACCCAGGGTCACACAGACTAGTGAATAACAGAAATGGCCTTCTGATTTGGGTCTGCATAGCTTTAAATAATATTCTTAACTCTTTGTTTTTTAATGTTTTTATTTCTGAGAGAGAGAGAGAGTGAGAGAGACAGTGTGAGCAGGTGAGGGTCAGAGAGAGAGAGACACACACACAGAATCTGAAGCAGGATCCAGGCTCTGAGCTAGCTGTCAGCACAGAGCCCGACATGGGGCTCGAACCCACAAGCCATGAGATCATGACCTGAGCCAAAGTCGGACGCTTAACCGACTGAACCACCCAGGTGCCTCAATACTCTTAACTCTTAACACTCTTAACAATGTTGCTTTCAACAACCTTTACTTTTGCACTGTCACTACTAAGTGGTCACATTGCCCAGGTGCCAGCTCACCTTCTTCCCTTTTTATTCATTCATTTCTTTATCTGCTTATCCATTTGATGAACATGTACTACAGCCCTTCTCTGTGCCAGGCCTGGGGTACAGTGCAATGAACAGCATGAGCACAGCCCTAACCTTATGGACACTGCATTCTAAAAATCAATAGATGGTTAGCTTTGAGAAAATTTAAAATGCCTACTCATTTTTCTGGCTAAGTCAGAGGCTCTGAAACTTCTTAAATGGTCACTTTCTGGAGACCTAAAAATCTAAATCCTTTAATGTAGAACCTCTGGTTTAACAGACCATGATTTTTTAAATTTCTTTTTTTTTTTTTTAACATTTTATTTTTTTGAGAGACAGAGACAGGGGATGAGCAGAGGAGGGGCAGAGAAAGAGGAAGACACAGAATCCGAAACAGGCTCCTGGCTCTGAGCTGTAGTACAGAGCCCGATGTGGGACTCAAACCCGAGCTGAAGTCAGACACTCAACCAACTGAGCCACCCAGGCATCCCAACAGACCATGATTTTAATGTTAATATTTACTATTCTCAGCCTAAAATTTTTTTTTAAAAAAGAGGAAATAAAAGAGATTGTTTTCCACTTACCTTTGCCCTTATTACCCAAAAAGGGATTTAAAGTATAAAAACCACATTGGTGGAACTACTAAGTAAACATGAATCTTAACCACACATAAGATTTTCTAATGTAAATCCAGTTTCTGCTTCCCTGTAATTATTTTTCTGGGCCTAAATGGTAAGACTGACTTCTCCTTTTTTTTCTTATTTCAACTTACAGTGAAAATAATCCACTGTTATTTTATTGATTATCACAGATTATTTTCACAGAGATAACCATCAACCAAGGTAAGTGAGACAGCTGGAAAAAGTTGCATTGATTTTCCCAGAAAACCCAAGACTTGGCTGGAGTGGAAGTAGCGAGGGGGTGGCATAGTCTTAAAAGTATATAAATTTGTAGTTACCAGCTAGTACATATTATGTGCCAGACATGGTGCTTAGTACTTTATTTGCATATTATCTTTTAATCTTTACCACAATAGATACGTACTATTATTTTCCCATTTTTCAGATGAAGAAATTGAGTCTCAGAGAGGTACTTTACCTAAGATCACACAACTACTCATTGACAAACCTGAGATTTAGGCCAAGTCTACCTCCAGAGCTGAAGATTCACCATAACCTTGTCCTGCTTCTTGAGGTGGAAGAGACATTACATTGCTTTGTGTTCAAGATAGGTTCCACAATTCTTGAATTCTTACTTGTTAACGCTCCATTCCACTTTGTAGCAAACATATTACATGTACCCACATTCCACATGAAAGAAAAGGAATGTATAACTACACACAGTTGACTTGCAGGTAACTAATTGATATGTTACATATTCTAGACATGCCATTAAATAATTTTAACTTTTCATTTTATTTTCCTACTTCTGAACTGTTACATTTTGTTTGTTTATTGAAATATTTTCTTAGGCCTTTGCAAAACTCAGAGATTGTAGGTACTGTGCCTATATTCCTGATGCAAGAAATGGCCCCATCTTTGTTGCCCTAAAGGGAAGGAACTAACAGTAAAAACTAAAGGGAAAAAGACTTGTTTAGGATATAAACAACTCTGAGGAAATACACTGCCTCATGAGGAAGATGTGTGGGCATACAGTGAGTGTGCACTTGGTGGTAATGTTATAAGCAGCATTGGTAGCACAGGATGGGAATGTGGACATACCATAAATATCTGGTATGACTTGATTAGGCCACAATGAGGGCTATCATCTGTTCCCACCATATTTAATTTTCTCACTAATTGCATAAGAGATGTCTACCAATCACCAAAGAACTACCAAAGATTAAACCATTAGAGAGCTGAAGTTACTACTTATAATTATAACTAATTTTTGAGTGCTTTCTGTGGGTCAGGTACTATGCTGAGCACGTTACATGTATTGTCACACTCAGTCTTTACAACAGTCTTATGCAGTAGGCTCTGGGGTTACCCTCAATGTAGAGGTAAGGAAATTGAGCCTCACAAAGTTTGAGCAATTTTACCTTGAGCTCACAAAGCTAGTATGAAGAGCTGATATTAGAACCCATTCTACTTACCTGTTGTTGATGTACTTAACCACAATCTCATTCTGCATCCGATCTTACTGGTAAATTTAAGGACAATAACCAACATGTACTGAGTACATAATATGATCAAATACTGGACTAAGCACTTGAGACACCCTTTCTTAGTTAAATTTCACAAGGTGGGACCTAGGAGATTTATGAGATTAAGATATGGGACTTACCTGTTATTACCCTCATCTTACTGAATGGAAGACTAAACTCCAGAGAGTATAAGAGAGACCAGGACTTTGACAGGAGACATTTAAGATTCAGCTCCCTGCTCAATGTGACCTGAGGTCTGCTCTTTTGATCCTATCTTCTCTTCCAGAGAAGCATGGAAAAGTCCTTGCTGAATTACTTGAAGAATTTAGCTGCTCTTCTGAGGTTGGAATTGAAGGAAGATGATGGGCTTCATTCCAGTTGGAAGAGATCCTTGAAATCACCTAATCCAACCCCAGGCATGGACTGGGGTGGATTCATGACAAAACATCCCCAGTCTGGGAGGTAATTGCAAAATAATGGCAATGTAATGAGTTTTTCATTAGATTAAATTTATTTAATTTAGAAACATGTCTTTTATTAATGGAATAGTGTCATTAGTAGATTTTTCCCCTTACTTGGCAAAATACATAGATTACCAAAATTCTTTTTTTTAGTGGGGAGGGGGTGGGAATTTTATTAGGTTATAAAATCCAAAGTCTCTGAACCCTCTCCTTGGACAGAACAGGAGGGGGAGGTCCAGGGAAGTGAAAGGCTTCAGCCCAGGTCACAGGGCTACTTGTGACTAACTCCAAATCTCAGCTCAGGGCTCCTTTTCCCCAGCACAAGTTTGTCCCCACCATCCCCTCACCACACACACTATCTCAGGTGCCCAGAAACATTCATGCCACCAATGAAACCCACTTCTCATCTCTTTCCCATATTCAAAATCCTCCGAACTCAGAAAATGCCAGAAGGCTTCCTCCTACACCACCTGTATAATTACCTGAGCCATATCCCTTGGTGGTGAGCATCCTTGGAAAGGCTGTAGTGAAGTCTCTGCGTGTAGGCCGAGCAGGGGTGACCTTGGCTAATATCAGAAACCAATATAAAGATGAGGCTTCTCTGAGAGCAGAGAACTTGTTTCAGGGAATCAAAGGGGCAGCAGAAAAAAATATGAAACACAACAAATGAAGAAAAGCACATGCCCAACTGCTGAAACTCCCTGGAAGCATTCATTGAGAGTGTATAAGACTCTTAACACGTTGGGCAGAGGTCTGTTATGGCCATCATTGCCACAGTCTAACTGTTAATAACAGAACTAATAGCCACACAAATGACCATACTAAATGCTTTTTATAAAACACTTCATAAAATCCTCCTAATGGCCTGTATGGTAGATATTGTCATATTTCATAGAGGAAGAGGTCACAGAGCTTAAATAACTTGCCTGAGATTACACAGCTAGTAAGAAACAAAGTTGGATTTGAACTCAGCTCCATCAGCCACATACTACATGCTGTATAAATCTTAAAATGTATGAGCACATGCACCCTGCTCCTCCCCACGTCACACATACATGGTCTGGTGGTTCTCAGTCCTGTCTGCACAGGGAGAAGAATCATCTAAGGTAGACTTTGTAAAATCCCAGCACTCGGGCTCTACTTCCAGAAATATTGATTTCTCTGATTTGTGGGTGGGGACCAAGGAGCTATAGGTGTGGGAAAGCTTTCCAGGTGATTCTAATGAGCAGTCATGTTCTTAACCACTGATCTAGGCCTATCCTGTCCATGCATTTGAAAATAGAGGAAGGGAATTAAATGTGGCTGGGCATTGCTGGTGGAGCCTGTTAAACTTTAGGTCTAGAGACCCACTCCCAGGGCTATAATTGGGGAGATCAGTAGTGAGACCAATCAATATATTTAATTACCTGCAGCTGAGTTTTATTTATAAGGCAGACATGCAAAGGTCCACTCACCTGGTTTGATGACCAACTCCAAGTTTGATTTTTTATCATTCATTGGGCCTGGGAATTGGATCCGGCAGCAATAGGTCCCACTGTCAGCTAGAGTCACATTCTCTATAGTCAAGGACACATCTCCTTTGTGGAGATTCCTCTTTAGCTGGTATCTGTTGGATGTCTGATATTTCAAGTTCCTTCCATCTGTGCTGAGCAACGTATCATAACATTCAAACACAGGACAGAATCCCTTGCCCCAGCAGACAGGCACAAGATCCTCAGGAGTGGTTGCAGAGTAGGTGCAGGGCAGAACAGCATTCTGACCCACTTCCACTACATATGCCCCTTCCAAAGATCCTGAATAAAGAGGGAAAGGAGAGCAAGATTCAGGCAATGAGTGAGGTTGGTCCATTTCAAGAAAACTGCAAGTGATGCATGCAGAATACAAAGGAAACCAGGGCTGCTGTTCTGTTTGGAAGATGGTCCACCATGACAATGGTTCTCTGACTTGAGAACCATCAGAATCACCAGAAGGCCTTGTTAAAACACACGTGACTGGGCTTAGCTGCTAGAGTTCCTGGTTCGATAGGTCTGGGGTGGGCTATAAAACTTTGAATTTCTAGAAGGTTCCAGCTGTTGACAGGGCTGGTCTCAGAAACTCACTCTGAAAACCAGTGCCCTAGGAGAGAATTGTGGTCCAGCCCTGTGAACATCTGAGGGCAAGGCAGATAGAAATAGATAGTCAGAAAATGAGTCATTGTCAGCCAGTAAAACAGCTCACTCATCTGGACTAGCTGTCTGCTCATTGATGAAAGGCAATTAACTTAACATAAATCTCTCTCTCTCTCTCTTTTTTTTAAAGCATTCAGCACTTAATGAATAAAAAGCATTGGCTGTATAAGAAGATTGTATATCTGAAACCACCCACAGGCTATTTTGAAGTTTAAAATTAATTATCTTTAAATATATATATGGTGAAACATTTAAACAGTATAAGAGGGTATATGAGGGTGCCTGGGTGGCTCTGTCGATGAAGCATCTGACTTTGGCTCAGGTCATGATCCCACGGTCCATGAGTTCAATCCCTGCATCAGGCTCTGTGTTGACAGCTCAGAGCCTGGAGCCTGTTTCAGATCCTGCCCCTCCCCCCACTCACATGCAGGCATGCACTCTCTCTCTCTAAAATAAACATTAAACATTTTTTAAAGGTATATGAAAAGTATACTCCCTTTCCCTGCTCCTTTCCATTTTCTGGTTCCCCTTCCCAGAGTCTATACATTAAGGAGGATTCATGTATTCCCACTCCTTACAACACATAGACATCTAATATACGTTAACATTTCGACTTCAAGACATTTCATATCACTGTTTGGTCAGCTTCACTGTTTGCATCATGGAGATATCACAAACTTATTTACCTACTTCCCGACTGGTGGACATTTAGGTTGCTTCCAAACCTGCTCTTGCAAGCATTACAATGACAGTCCTTGTATCTTTATCTCACACTATCCAATTGTGACCATCCATGCCCAGATGCCCAGACTTACCTGTGAGTACTGGCAGCAGCAGCAGCAGGACACAGTCAAAGGAAAGTTGTGAAACCATGGATTCTGAAGAATAAAGTCAAATAAAGCTCTGTTTAGTTTTGATTCTCCAGTGGAACAGGGTACCTCTTGCAATTCTGTCTCCTCCGCAATCACAGGAGCAGGGGCCGTTCTCCCTCACTGCTGGCCCAGCACAGCAGGGCATCTGACCTTTTCTCTGTTAATGCTCTCAAGTCCACAGTTACATCAAAGGAAACCCCTGTTGCCTGTCATACCACACCACACACATCCTGTAACAGCTCTGATATTTATCCTGTGAGTATCAGCGAAGAGGAAGCAATACTCAAGGAAGAAAAGTGTCTCTCAGTCAGTCAAGAAAAGTGGAGGGAGTCCTCTCATATCTCCAATGAAATAATTCTCTGGAATGTATGGTGTGTGGGTCTAGCTGGTTACCAGGGAACACAAGGCAGGAACATATCATCCACACATGCATTCAGTCAGATCAATCAGTTGGTTGGTCATACGACCAATGTTAATGGAGTAAGAGCTAGAGAATACCACGGTGAATGGCATGTTCCTTATTCTCACAGTTATGGGCCCCTTCCGCTCCAGCTCTGAACTTAATTCTTAGTCTTCTTCTAACACAGATTGGGCTGTGTTATATAACCTTGTTGGATCTTAGTTTCCTCATTTATAAAACGTATAAAAAGAGGAAATTGTGCTAGGTGACATGGCTCTCTGCTCTAATATTCTGACTTGGACGTGAACTTTCAAACCCTTCCACTTAGGAAAGACACTTTTCTTTCTGCAGTGTTTCTTCCCCCCTCACTGTGGAATCAAGGGGACGTCAATATTCTATTATATCTCATGTGAATAGGATGTCTCCTCCCTCCCATCCCTGGGGCTCTAGACATAAATTCTCAGAAAGGGTTGAGTTTCAACCACGCTCTCCGTCACTGAGGTGACATCTCAGACCCCTGAGATAGTGACAGCCTTCCGTCTCAGCCCTAGGATACTGACATTTCTCTGGGAACCTAAAAGCCAATGATTCTTTATCAAAGTGAGCTCACAGACTGAATAGTTTCTGAAAACCCTGTGGACTTCCTGTCTTTTCTTGCTGAACTTCCTTGTCACTCATCTTTATGCCACTAAATGCATTCACTATAAATATCCAGCTTATTCACTGTGTGTACTTTCCATAGCATCACAGAGGTAGCAGTTACTCAAGAAATCACAGTAAATGTCTTCATTTTATGCACAGGGAACTGAGACGTAAAAAGGTCGATTTGCCCAAAGGCATGTGACTAGTAATCCCAAATGAGAACTGTGTCTCCCAAGCTCCATATCTTTTCCACTACAAACTATTTTATGAATTTCATATTTGCCCTTAATATGTCTGCCTACATAACTTAAAAAACCAGCAAATGTCCATATCGAAGGGTAAGTAGAATGGATTAAACATGGGGTCAGGTGTTATGTTTACTGCATGACCCAATCAACACTCAAAAGTGTCAGGCCTCAGATTTTGTGTTCTGTTTTTCCTTTTTTCTTTCTGTTTTGTTTTTTATTATTATTACTCTGTTTATCTAGTGTTACTACTGGAACCAGCTTCATAAAATATTGACAATTTATTAACTCATTGAAGTCTAGACATAAGGGAGCCTAGAAATCTATTCTAAACCCCTTCTTTTTTTCTTCTGTGTACAGGGAGCTGTTTCTGAGCATTTTCCTGTTTATTTAACTTTTATTTCTTGTATCTTAAAAACAAACTGTTTAGATAATTCATCCAAATGACTAAAATTTGAAGCAGTATCAAAGCTTTATGAAGAAGGCTTGTTCCGATCCCTCCAAATCTACCAATTTCCATGCCCCCACCCTGTAGGTTTCCATTCTCCTAAGTCTCCTGTGTATACCCCCAATGCAGACACAAGAAAATAAAATACGCATTCATATTCCCTCCTTTCTTAGACAAATTGTATGTCCGTGTTACACCTTGCATTTCCTATTTACTGTTTTATATACGTTTTTAATATACACAAAAGCAAAAAAATATATATATATACACAAAAGCAGAGAGGAAAGTATGAGTTCCCAATACACAGGTTTAAAATTATCAACTTCTATTTTAAAACAAATCCCAAATCTCCTATTACTTCACCCTCACAGATTCAGTGTGTATTTTGGTTTTTTAAAGTTGACTTTCTGCTGCATAACCATAATACCATTTTCACACATGATCAAATTAGTAATGATGTCTTAGTACCCACGTCTTCAGTTTATAATCAAATTCCTCTGATTATCTCAAAAATACACTTTTACAATACATTTATTTATATTCAGACCCAATCAAGGTCCCTACATTGCATTTGGTTATCATATCAATTAAGTATCTTAATCTAGAACAGTGTTTCTTCCATCCCCCTGCCACTCACTGGCTTGTAAAATCAGTTGTTCCACAGAATGTGCCACAGTCTGGGTTTGCCTGCTTCCTGTGGTGTCACTGAAATTATTCCTCTTTTCTGTGTATTTCCTATAAACAAAACTTAGCTCTAGAGGTTTGACTTTTTGAAGAGTACTTCGCTGCTGGTGGTTTGTGCTTCAGATCCCACAACTGTCTGCTTGCTCTACCTATGGAGGTGCTAACTTTTATCAGCTTGCATTTTTCTTTTTAAACTCAACCTTCTAGACAAATACCATATGATTTCATTCATTGTGAAATTTAAGAAACAAAATAGATGAATATACAGGAGGGGGGATGAAAAAAGAGGGGAAAAAACCATAAGAGATTCTTTTGTTGTTGTTTGTTTTGTTTTTGTTTCTGTTTTTTTAATATAATTCATTATCAAGTTACCTAACATATATTGTATATAGTGTGCTCTTGGTTTCAAGGGTAGATTCCCCTGATGCATCACTTACATACAACAGTCAGTACTCACCCCAAAAAGTGCCCTCCTCAATGCCCATCACCCATTTTTTCCTCTCCCCTATGTTCCCATCAACCCTCAGTTTGTTCTCTGTTTTTAAGAGTGTCTCATGGGTTTGCCTCCCTCTCTGTTTGAAACTATTTTTTCTCCTTCCCTTCCCCAATGGTCTTCTGTTAAGTTTCTCAAGTTCCACTTATGAGTGAAAACATCTGTTATCTGTCTTTCTCTGGCTGACTTATTTCACTTAGCACAATACCCTCCAGTTCCATTCACGTTGCTGCAAATGGCAGGATTTCATTCTTCTCATTGCCAGGTAGTACTCCATTGTATATATAAACCACATCTTTTCTTATCCATTTACCAGTTGATAGACATTTGGGCTTTTTCCATGGTTTGGCTATTGTTGAAAGTGCTGCTATAAACATTGGGGTACATGTGCCCTTGTGAATCAGCACTCCAGTATCCTTTGTATAAATTCCTAGTAGTGCTGTTGCTGAGTCATAGGGTAGTTCACTTTTAATTTTTTGAGGAACCTTCACACTGTTTTCCAAAGTGGCTGTACCAGTTTGCATTCTCACCAACAATGCAAGAGGGCTCTGTTGTTTCCTGAGTTGTTAATTTTAGTTACTCTGACCATTGTGAGGTGGCATCTCAATGTGGTTTTGATTCGTATTTCCCTGATGATGAGCAATGTTGTTCGTCTTTTCATGTGTCTGTTGGTCATCTGGATGTCTTCTTTGGATAAGTGTCTATTCATGTCTTCTTACCATTTCTTCACTGAATTATTTGTTTTTCATGTGTTGTGTTTGGTAAGTTCTTTATATATTTTTGGATACTAACCCTTTATTCAATATGTCATTTGCAAATATTTTCTCCCATTCTGTCAGTTGCCTTTTAATTTTGTTGATTATTTCCTTTGCAGTGCAGAAGCTTTTTATTTTGATGAGGTCCCAATAGTTCATTTTTGCTTTTATTTCCCTTGCATTCAGATGTATCATGTAAAAAGTTGCTGTAGCTGAGATCAAAGAGGTTGTTGCCTGTTTTCTCTTCTACGGTTTTGATGGCTTCCTGACTCACATTTAAGTCTTTCATCTATCTTGAGTTTATTTTTGTGTATGGCATAAGAAAGTGGTCCGTTTCATTTTTCTGCATGTTGCTGTCTAGTTCTCCTAGCACCATTTGTTAAAGAGACTGTCTTTTTTCCATTAGATATTCTTTTCTGCTTTGTCAAAGGTTAGTTGGCCATACATTTGTGGGTCCAGTTCTGGGTTCTCTATTCTATCCCATTGGTCTATTTGTCTGTTTTTGTGCCAATACCATACTGTCTTGATGATTACAGCTTTGTAATAGAGGCTAAAGTCTGGGATGGTGATGCCTCCCGTTTTGGTTTTCTTCTTCAATATTACTTTGGCTATTCAGGGTCTTTTGTGGTTCCATATAAATTTTACGATTGTTTGTTCCAGCTTTGAGAAGAATGCCGGTGCAATTTTGATTGGGATTGAATTGAATGAGTAGATTGCTTTGGGTAGTATTGACATTTTAACAATATTTGTTCTTCCAATCCATGATCATGGAATGTTTTTCCATTCCTTTGTGTTGTCTTCAATTTCTTTCATAAGTTTTCTATAGTTTTCAGCTTACAGATCTTTTACATCTTTGTTTAGGCTCATTCCTAGGTATTTTATGGTTCTTGGTTCAATTGTAAATGGGATCAGTTTTTTTATTTCTCTTTATGCCGCTTTATTATTCGTGTATAGAAATACAACCAATTTCTGTACATTGATTTTTGTATCCTGCGACTTTGCTGAATTCATGGATCAGTTCTGGCAGCTTTTTGGTGGTGTCTTTCAGGTTTTCCATGTAGAGTATCATGTCATCTGTGAAAAGTGAATTTTGACTCTTCTTTGCCAATTTGGATGCTTTTTATTTCATTTTGTTGTCTGATTGCTGAGGCTAGGACTTCCAACACTTTGTTAAATAACAGTGGCAAGAGTGGACATCCCTGTCGTGTTCCTGGTCTCAGAGGGAAAGCTCTCATTTTTTTCCCATTGGATGATATCATCCCAGAGGATGATATTAACTGTGAGCTTTTCACATATGGCTTTTATGATGTTAAGGTCTGTTCCTTCTACCCCAAGTTTCTTGAGGGATTTTTACTATGAAAGGATGCCATATTTTGTCAAACGCTTTTTCTGCATCTCTTGACAGAATCATATAGTTCTTATCCTTTCTTCTATTAATGTGATGTAGCACAATGATTGACTTTCA